ATAATTCATTTTCTATATATATTTTAATATATGTAATATGTAATAGTTAAATTTAAATCTTTATTGGCATAGTATAATTATCGATATAAACAAAGGATCTTATTATTAGAAATCGCATTACTGAAATATATGTTAATAAGAAAGTTATTAAACGAACTTATATATATTTAAGTTTCTACAGTTATGTAAAATTTGTTTTCGAAAAATATTGTCATTAAAAATAATTAAATCGATGCGGTTGCCTTAAATACTATGATAATGAGAAATACGTTATATATAATATTTTTGAATTATTAGATTGATAATGTTAGTTACATTAATTGGCCAACAAGTGTTAGATTTAATACATTTCCGAATTACATTTTCTAGTTTGATGAGCGGTAGAAATAGTGTTAGCGACAAATGTTTAACTGAAATGATAATTTTTTAAAAATAATTCTTATGACAATAGAAAGAAAAATATGTTTTTTTTTCCCGACATTTTAAACTAAACTGTAAAATTTAAAAAACTATTATGCAAAAATTGTTCAGTATGTTGGAGAAAAATAAACCAATAAATTTTTAATATATTCTTTACAAATAGAATTCCTAAAAATCTGTTGGTATAGTTATATTTCCATTCAAAGACACGATTAATAAATTGATACAATTGAACAACAAATCTATTTGCAATTATATTTGAGATATATATTTTAGAAAATATGTTAACGATTTCCAACCTCCATTGTTGTTTTGATTTTTTGATTCTTTGATTCTTGAACAAGTATAGACAAAAAGACGTCGAATATTTTTAGTTTTAAAGAATATTTTAAATTTTATCAAAATCAATATGTTGTATTTGAATAATATTTCTTGTTAATAATGGTAGGTTGTTGAATTTCTCTTCTTTTAAATGACTTTCGTACACAAACAAAATGTAGCATTCCATTTTAAACGAATGGATCTTTTTATTTTATTTTTCGTGACAGAACAAAGGTAGAACTGCGACTTTTATAGGAAATATTTTAATAAAATTTTAATATTTGAAATAATATAGATAAGTGGGATATCTTGTACATAAATGAACGTAATGGAAAACAAGATTAAATTTTTTAATGAATTTATTTCAAAAGGAAATATTGTACAAAGTGAAATTGAATATGTGTAAATGTAATTAGCTACACGTAGGAAAATTTCAGTATTTGATAGATTAGTTTTTATCTAGTAGTTAAATTAAAACCGCAATGAAAGTAAGGAAAACGTCAAACGTAAATAAGAAAATGTAAATAAAAATTTGTGCTAAATTCATATAAGTTATATGTATTAATATCTGTAAAAGAGGAAAATAGTAATCTACCTCAAATGAAGTAAAATTTTCTGAGGAAAAATCTATCACATTGTTTGTCAAGGACGAAGGAGATTTCACCAAATCACAAATGTTTGAAAATCATTCGAGAAGTATTCATTAGATAATAATTTTTATATAAATCTTTTTTATTTAATGTAAACCTTAGTTTTTACTAATCAAAATGGTTACTAGTAATTTTTTTTGGAGAATCAATGTAACTTTTTAACGAAACATAAAAACTATTTTAACACATGTTTCAAGCGTCATTTTCTCCATAAAATATAATAGATCTTAATGTCTCTTTAATAAATTATTATACATAGAATATTTATCAACGAATACTGTCTGCTCAGTAAGCGATTCACTAAAAAGCCTATTTATGTTCAAAAGGTTCATAATGGCTTACATTTTATTCGCGAGATGTTTGTGAAGAGTTACACTTATTCGTGATTAGTACGTGATTTATTAGCAGCTTGTGATTTGCGAATGTTTGGTTTGCGTTACATTATGTATTTTGAAGATAAAATAGCACTGACTATTTTAATAATACAATTATCTTTATCTTTTCTAAAATTTTTATGAAGAAAATAATATTTTCATCAATAATAGTTCGAGCTCATTGAATATAAATTTTGGTGTCGTACAGTTCATAATTTGAAAATTGACTCTTATATAATTAAAATCGAAAAAGACTTTTATATGATAAAAAGTTTTCTCAAAATATCAAAAAGTACTTGTGAAAAATATAAATACGAAATTTTACGAAATTATACAAGATTTTGGGAAAATAATTTTGTTAAAATTGAAAGTCATCTCTCGGTATTTAATGAGATAAATTAGGCTGAATTATTATTCGGGAATTGAGCATCTTACAAAAAAATTTTATTCTACATTTTTCATTATATAAAATATTTTTCTTGTTGATTATTTATATGTATTCAGTACGAAATTATCCAATTTCAAACTCAATTTTTTTTTAAAACGGCTGTAATAAAAAGATTTTATTCTTTCTTTTCAATTCATTTTTTCATCACTAGTTACAGGACGCTCTGTATATTTTTTACAGATGCTACCATATGAGTGGGGAATACAAAAAACTCCGTATAGTCCAAGACCTGACATCGTCGCAGATACAATGAGGCGTAAAATTAATCGCGAGTTAACTGTACTTTCAAATGATATCTCAACAATTGATCCTATACGCATGAAGGAAGTTGATGACCTATTTAAAGTAATTCATTTTGCTATTTATTTGCATTGTAGTTTTTTCAAGAAATAATTTTTCAACTTTAATGAATTTTCTTCTATTTTTCTCTAATATCTTTTATAATATTTTGCTCAATGTATTTATCTTTTCTTATATTTCGTCATAATATTCAAATGCAGTGATTTGAAACTGTGGTAAAACTAATATATTCGTATAAGGCAATGTATGAAAATGACAGAAGTGAAATGAAATAAATGATAGGAAACATAATTTGTATATCGAAGTTTCATACAAGATAATTCTCGCAATTACAACAGATTGTATTTTAAAAATCATAAGAGAAGATGTAAAGGAAAAAATTAATTGTTATAAGAGGATTTATTTTTTTGCACACGTAGTCATTTTATAAATGTAACGATGCACCTAAAAAATGTAGATAAAATTTTTTTTTTTTTAAATGGAATCATACATTTTTTTATACATTAATTTATGAAGCTCGATCTTCTCTATAGAGAAATATATTAATCTATGTATATCAAAAAATTATTAGTTTGGGAAACATTTCTAACTTCAATTTTATAAAATCATAAGAGACATGCATAAAAAATAAGAATAATATGAACATAAAAACATTGCACTCATCGTTCTCGCCTTTTTAACTAAGTTAAAATATTTCTTAAATTAATAATTTTTTGACACATATATATAAGATATTTGAATAGAAGTACTGCTTACGAATATTGTAGTTTATTTATTAATAATGTATTAGATACAAAATAAAAGGAGATAATAACAAATGAAAAGAGTATTAGTTCATATCGTCGGTTATTTACTAGTGGTTTTTATTTTCTATCCAAATATTTTGCAACTTACATAGGTTAGTATGAATATTTTTTTACTGAGCCTATGTACAATCCTATATACATAGTACTTTTTTTACTGAGCTTCGCCAATTAATGTATAAAAAAGAAAATAATTCTATTTAAGAAAAAATTTCATCTGTATTTTTTAAATCCATCGTTGTATTTATAAAAGAAACGAATAATAAACTTAAAAAAACTTTACCAATAATACTTATCAATAATAACAGAATGTATGGCTCCGCTTTTGAAAAAGTTGCATCTGTAGTTTCTAGTTCTTAAGTATTTACAAAAGTTCAATCTATATTTTCTGTATTTTCCTATCATTATATGCATTTATCATTCGTATATTTTAAAGTTTTATCATTCATATCCTCCGTTCGACTTTTGTTTGATTTCTATTTCTTTGTATGATAATAAAAGCTCAATAGTGTTGTCAACGCCACGTGCATTCTCCAACGAAAATGGAAAGGCTGAGTCTAGGAATTGTTAAGTTTAAATAGGATTTAGGCAAAGAGGATGAAACTAAATATAGACAAACATAGAGGCAAAGAAAGTACCAGGGAAGTTAAATCTGAAAGGAAATAAAATCTGTTCGTTGAACCTAGATGATGCGTGTGTATTTCTAAGACTGTGTGAGAACGAAGAAGAAATCCTTGGAAGTAAAAAGTAAAAAGGGGAGAACAACTAACTAAAACGTGGGGGAAACTGAATAGATAAAGCTTTTTTCGAAGATTCTCTTGCGATAGCATTCATGCTTAAATTTATTTTGAATAACTATTTTGTAAAAATAATTATCACGTATTATTTATGTATCGAATGTTGCGATGTCGGTTATAAATGTAGTATGAGCGTGTATGTGATTGTAAAATAAATTATAAATTAAGAAGTCCGGTGTTACATAGAACTATCACAAAATATATATAAAAAAGAAAAATACGTATGAATAAAATTTAAAATGAACTGTTTTCTACCAACTGTTAATTACAAGATTATTTGTTATTTATAACCATTGTATAGAATTTTCAGAATTTCTTTGTACACTTTGAGTAAAAAGTAAAATAGATAGATTTTCCAAGTAAAATAGATTATTTGTCAAATAAAATATTGACGAACGAGAATAATATTTTTTTTTAATTCAATATTTATATTTATATCTTTATATATTTGAACAAGAAATGAAAAACAAAACATTTTTCTACATACATTATTTCTATGTTCAAAGTTAAGATGAGAAATAATTATAATTATGAAATTCCTAATAAAACACATTTTTTTGATAAAAGTCTTAATTAGTAGAGCGGTTAGTATTATGAGTTAATTCTTCCTTGCTCCCTTAATGGTTTATAGTGCAATATAATAATCCATCAAGAAGATAATTATCTTAAATTTTTATCAACTATTGTATTAATATGGGTGAACTTACAATTTTGAGATATATAACATATCATTCCCTGTTAGAATATTAAGTTATTAGCAAAAAATGCTGATAATGACGACAGCGATTAATCATTAGACATTATCAATGTTAAATACTAACAACAATCATATTGAATTATCAGAATCAACATTTATGAATGTTATCAATATTGTAATATCAATATGATTGTAATATGTAACAGTTTCTTGATACTCCACATCTACATTAGTGTACCAACGTGATCAGACAGCGCAAATAATCACGAGTTGATCGGGTTTCGAGATAATTACGCGTTTGATGTTACGTATACGATTTGGAGAGGAATTATTCGAAAGTACATAAACTGTATGACAAGAAGTCATAATGATTAATGTTAGTTATATTACAAATTAATATGAGTCATAATGAAGAGTTTAAATTAATTACAATGACTGAAAGTTTCTAATATTAACTATTATGGTGAAATCAAAGAATTATTAATATATACAATAATTTTATCATAAACAATATAGTCTTTGTATATATAAACATAATTTTATTATATATATACAATAATTTTATTATAAACAATATATTCTTTGTATAATATAAATCGATTACAAACGATAATTATTGCCGAAAACATGCTTATAAAATATTAAACATTTCATTTGTATGTAATGAATAACAAAATAATAACGTATTTTTTAATTAAATTATACGTGTATCAACACTCGTTTTTATGAAATTTTTCTTGAAATTCTTCTTCTTTTTTTAGACTATATCAGTCAGTGTTCTAAAAGAATACATATTTTTAGAAATAGAAGAATAGACATTAAAAAACACTGAGGAATAAAATTGATGCTTCATATTGATTACATTACTTTAATGTTATTTAAGAAACACAAAGGATATATTAATACTTTTTTGATCCATTGTCATTTATGCTCTTTGAATAATCAATTTTTGGATGACGTATAAGAAATTTTATTGATTGATTTAGGATTATACCATTTAAAATAATGTTTGAGAGCATGATAGAATTAGATAAATGCTTTTAATGAGTAAGACAGCGTATCTTGATTTTTGGTCAAACTGAAATTTGGTTGTTTTGTATACAAAATTAAGGATTATATTTTCACAATTAAAATTATCCATGTTATCAACTTAACTTTTAATTATTCAACGAATGTACTTCGCATACATTAAAACACATACATACATTAGAACTATTCTCAGAAAAAGAATCCGCTGGCGTCAGAACAAGAAACGTGAGGCATCCTACTCATAATAACTTAAATATTTCATCCAAAAATTGATGAAAACTGATTGATTAGTATAATAATTTGATAATGTCAGAGAATAATTCTTTAATACTTCTTAACTTATTTTTATTCACAATATACTTATATACGTACACAATCAAATACAAATAGCTTCACATTTTCTTTACTAGCTCTCTTCATTCATATTATCCATTCGTTTTTATTGATTATTATTATCTATTGTGCATGCTTCTCATTCGTGAGATTTCAGTTTCTTTCCTTGAGAAGAAATTTTTAAATAGATTTAGAAATTTTAAAATAAATATTAAAATATTAAATATAATAAATAAATTAAAAAATTAATAATAAAATAAATAAATACTATAAGTAAAAATATCAAAAGAGATTTAGAAACTTTAATAGTAGAAAGAAAGTCTGAAGATTTAACAATAACATTAGTGTGACAAAGGGATACAGATAAAAAATAATACCCCTTATATTTTTAAAAAATTTAGAATTTAGAATTTGTTTTTGATTTTAGACTTTCATCAAAATGTTGAAAATTAACGAAAGACAAAATTAAATCTTTATTAAGAACTATGACTGTAATTATAATTGTAACTATAGAAATGAAGAATCTAATTCGTTTCATTATCAATAATTTCTTTTTCAGTATTTGCTTCTTCAATAATTTCTGCTTTGAATATTATCTTATATCTAGTATAATGAATTGCGACATATATACTTTTTCAGTAGATGATTAAATTATTAATTTTCAGTTCGTTTATTTGTAAAGGATATACCTGAGATTTTTTTAAGCAGGTAGTGGTGAAACAGCACTAGATTTTAGAGTAAATTCGATTGTCACGCTACAAGGATTACAATGTCCAAAACTTATTATAAACTCATTGGATCTGTTTAATTTTTGTAATACTCATTCGACAATCTATAAGAATGTATAAAACTTCAATAAATACAATTTTATTTAGAAGCGGTTTTTAAATCAGGATCTTCAAATGTTCTAATGGTTCCATAGGTGAAACATTAATTTAATTTTAGGCAGTTAAAGATTTTGATTTAATAATAATTATTATTCTTTTACAGATTGTGCAAATTCATCGTAGTCAATACAAAGACCGCACTGGCAGTTTTCATCCTTTAGCTTTTTTCAAGCCCGATTCTTACATGTATCAAAATGCACCAGGAATGACGGAATCGTATGTCTCGAAATATCCAACAAGTTATGTTAAATATAAAATTCCCATAGTTTTGCCATTGACGTATGAAAGAAGGAAACAAACGCCATACATTCCAGATTTATCTCTTTCTGGCATATATAATAAATCTAGCTGCATTGCTTATAAACGATAACTTCCCACAATGATACCTATTAATATATTCAGATATTAAATTTTGAAACTGTTATCATTTGTAAAAAAGAAAACGATCATACTATAATAAACTTGGGCACATTTTAAAACTTAAAGCCTTTATTTTCAAAAAAATATCGCTCATTTTAGACTAACATGTTTTTACATCACAGATAGAAGATACTTTTTTCACAAAACGTTTTATCATCAAATTATAAGTAAATACGGATGTATATTATTAAATAAATAAATTGTATATTAACGTATTACATATGTACAAGGTAGAAAGTAAAGTTTGTATCATTCAAGGTCAAAATTTTGTTTTATCTATTTATCTATTTACGATAGTTCTCTTGAAAAATGGTAAAAAAATTTTAACACTGCTGAGAGTTGCCTAACAATAAACGATTTTATTCTGAACGAGTGGTGGTTCACAGCTACCTGAAATTTTGATTCTGTGTGATATATCATTTAATTATTTACTGATACTGCCATATCTTATCATTCCATTTATTATGAAAGCCATAATTTATTAGAGAAGCAACTCTCATCAAGCGAAATATTACAAACGTAAACGAAATAGGTGAAAATCTGCTGCAGTTGACATAAAGCGGACCATAATCAAATGATAAAATTAACTCGAAATATACGTCATTAACATTATATGTCCGCACCACTGCACCGATTAAAATGATAAATGATTATTAAATTTTTTTGCCATTTTTTAAGAAAACTATTAGGTTGATTCCTCGGAAAAATTTCATCTTCGTGGCGAGTAGAATACAATACAACTAAAAAGAATTCTGATCTTGAAATTCAAAGTCAAGATCAATTTTGCGACAGGTTCATTATATGTATCTCCATCAAATCGAAGATGTAAAATTCATCTATAATAACTTGGTACAAACTTGTCTTTCCATCCTATATATAGAAAACCTATAAATAAATAATTATTAGTCGATGAATTGATTTAATGAAATCAAAGAATTATAAAATAACGTAACAATTAGTTCAAAATAAGAATAATTAATAGAAAAGTTTTATTTTGTATTTGACATTTATTTTTATTACGTAAAATTTCATAATATTATATACATGTATTAATAATCATACATTTCTGCCATATTATTATTAAATTAGATAGAAATTATTATTAAATTTAATATAGATAATTATTATTAAATTTAAATTATTAAATTTAAATAGATTATAAATTTAGAATTATTAAATTTAAAATAGATAGAAAATATTATTAAATTAGATAGAAAATAAATCCTTGTTTTTAACATGGTATTATTTATCGCACAATTATGATATTAATTGTCTATTTCTTCATTCTTTTTACAAAAAATTGAAGTATGAAAAATAATACAAGATAACTGTTGGTTACATAATATATCACTATATTAAGTTGAAATATAAACTTGTTAATTATTATCTTATAATTTATGGTAATTCATTGATTTTTAAAAGTGAAAAACTAGTTAAGTTATTAATTAAAACTAAAAAGTTATTAATTAAAACTATCGATCTTTTTAATATGTAGGAATATTTTTTGAAAAAGGAATAATAGAATAA